GGCGGGGGCGGAGAATGAGGAGAAAACAGTAGTGATGCGTGGCCAGCACTGTGTCAGCTGCAGGTAAGTGTTACGTTAGGAATGCTACACGCGAATGTTCTCAACAATCATGCTGCTGGTACACTCAAGGAAATCACTCAATAATTCAACTAATTGGTTAAATGTTACTTTTGGTATCACACGTGAAACTGAAATGTAGCAACCTCGCCACCCTGTCCTTCGAGCTGGATGTTTACTACAATGTGGTACAAGAGCTGAGCATCGAGCGATGTACTGCGATGCGAGGATTCCCTTGAGTGCACCCCTAAGTACACCCCTAAGTACCTCCAGGTGTCGCCTATGGTCAATAATGTGGCCCCACCGGCGCGTGCCGGCGTGGCGGGCCGACATGTCTGCCGTGTCTAGCTGCTAGAACGTTCACCTTCGTATTAACGTAAGCAAGCTTCATGATTTTACAATGAATTATGTATTTTAGAAAGATTTATCTTTTTATGCGACAGTTTATTGTACACGGTCGAATTGTAAAATGAGTTATATAATACCTTTGGTTTGGAAGACATCATGGGCGGGTCGTTCCAGCCCGGGGCGACGCTGCGGGGCGGGGCGGCCGGGGCGGGCGGGGCGGCGGGAGTAGGTTCCATGTACCCACCGTTGGCAGTCGGCTGCATTGGATTCATCGCAGCCGGGTTCAGTGGGTTCATCATTGGATTCATTGGTTGATTTAGTGAATTCATTTGAGCCGGATTAAGTGGGTTCATCGGTGCGGGCATTAGTGGATTCAGGGGGGCTGCGTTGAGTGGGTTCATTTGGTTGAGAGGGGCGGGGTTGATGGGGTTGATGGTGTTGGCGGGCATCCTGGAGTAGGGCATGGCGTGGTGGTCGGGCGGCGGGCTGTTGTATCCGGCGTACGCTTGCGGCTGCGACGTCACGGGGCTGTTGTAACTGTACTGGTTGTATGTGGGGGCTTGTACGGAAGGGTCAACTTTGTATTTCGAGCGACTCGTTATTCCACCTGGGAGGAACATTTTTAAGCATTACTTTCAATTTAACTAACTTTGAAAAAATTGCACAACAAGATTGTAAAATGAGAAATATTGTACTGTGTGATGGGTAGGATACCTGAGTGCGCGACGTGCGGGCCCACGCTGGGAGGGCGCTGCTGCTGCGCCTGCCAGCTGCCGGCATCCGATGCCACCGGCACACCTGTAGCAAAATAGCGACGGTTAAAATGTGAATTCGGCAGGAAACTGGAGAAAATATCCATAGCCGAGGAGGCCGTTTTATTCATTAATTGTATGAACACGGTGGCATACCCGAGCCGAAGGCGCCGGCGATGTCGTTGTGCGTGATGTGCTGCGGGTGCGGGTGGTACGAATGCGGCTGGGGCGGCTGAGGCGGCGGGTGCGCGCGCTGCGAGTGCGCGCTGTGTGCGCTGTGTGCGCTGAGCGTGCGGGCGCGCGCCACCTGCGACTGCTGGTGCGGGTGATGTTGGTGGTGCGGCTGGCGACGCACGCCCAGCGCCTGCTGCAGCCGGTCCGCGAGATCGCAACGCGCGCCGCGCAGCGCCCCCAGCGCGCTCTGCAGGCAGCCCTGCTCCGCAAGACGGTACGCGTACTCCTGCAGCGAGTCCGAGGTCGCGCCCTCCTGCACATATGCACAGAGTTAAAGTTATCTAAAAACGTGACATTTTACCACTCGGACAGTAATTTTTTGTCTCACCTTCTGTTCCCGACCGCGTGTCTCCGCAGCGCAGCGCAGCAGGAGCGCGAGCTCGGCGCGGCGCACGAGTGCGGCGGCGTCACCCGCTCCCCGCCCCGCACCCCCCGTACTCCCCGCCGGCAGCGCGTCCGCCCGCGCCGCGCACACGTAGCACAGCGTCGCCGCCGACCGCAGCGCCGGCTCCGACTCCCGGGACAGCTTGGCGCCCAGCATCTCTGTTATAAATAATTAATAATTAGGTGAAATTTAATAATTTCACAATGTTTAAATAAAATAAAAATGTGAATGTAATGTAGGTACCGCAGTAGTGCGGCAGCATGTCGGTGTCGCAGTGCGTGACGAGCGCGGCGAGCGTGTGGCGCCAGGAGGCGGGCGCGGCGGCGGCCAGCAGCGCGGGCCAGCGCGCACCGAGCAGCGCACCCGCCACC